TGCATGCGATTCTACGTCCCGATGTGTTTTGCGTTGAAGCGCGGTTGCGTTCCTTCGCATCACTGAAGAGGATTCATATAGGCGAAGTTTGGGAATCAAACTTTTCCTATATATACATTCATTGGTCTTATGAACGACAATGTAGCTCAGTTTTGAATGTGCAGACTATATGTGCATCTCATAATGGGTCACTGTTTTTTTCCTTTGACTCTCTTGTGGGACCCTATTATAGCATCTAACCATCAAAGTATTTGGCTGATTTAAAATTCCTGTCTGTAGTATCGACTGAGGGAAGATAACCAGAACCAAGTTTGGCAATGTCTTGAGAATATTTGGCTAACGCTAGCCCTTTATGGACCCAGCGAATCGAGGTGGAGGTAACAGGTTCACAACAGCAAGTGCCGCTGACTTTATATTAGAATGATCACGAAGTCCAACGTAACGGTCGCCATTGGGACACAGACAAGGTCCCTAGGGACTTCTTTTATTTATCACATGGTCAATCGCTTAGCCGCCTTTGATGTAGTGATGCACGGTAAGCTATAGTCGATTTCTAACACAAGATAACACGCTTGCAGACAAAGGGCGCGCCGACGGCGGAAACGAAAATCACTTGTTTCCGAAGCCGTAAAGGGCTGTGAGTTTTCTAATTAATCTTCTTTATATCTTTTCTTAGGCAAAAATTCCTCATAAGGTAAGCAGAAAATACGAAAATACCAGCAAATGGATCATTCGTCCCACTTACCATATGACATAGGCAATCAAACATCTGCATGAGTAGTCAGCTAGTATCTTCTGCTTGGAGAAGAAAATACTAAGGAAAACTATTAAAAAACCCTCGTACTACCTTTGGCTGCAGAAGCAGCAGATTTTCGAAAATTCCGCTCTTAAAACTTAGAAGCGTCGGCGCGCCGCCCTTTTGTCTGCATGTGGTTTTGTTACCTTGTTAGGATTCGACTATAATTCATAAATTTAAGAAGACCACCTTCGGAAACGTTTATGAACTTCCTACGCGAAAAGATTTGAAAGAAGAATGTTCCTAAATATTTTGATCGTCATTCGGAAGGGTATTGAACAAAGAGAGCTAGAGAAATTTGGGAAAGAAGTATTAAGATCTTATTCGGAGCGTGCATGCTGGATGAAGTTTCGATAGCCTCGCCCGCTCAGCACTTCTGTAAATGAGAATGTATGTGTGTGTGTGTTTGTGTATGTGTGTATGTGTGTATGTGTGTGTGCGCCGTTTCTGTTCTATCATGGCTTTGCACTTTGTCGTAGTTCCACACCTAAAGAAAACATTGTAGTCACTGTGATTTCAATCCACCCGAATAATCCAATCAAACTTTTTTATTATTTCTAATTGTACGATGCCTATCGCAGTTGATTGTGTGGAGCTGCTCTTTCGTAACAGTCGAAGCTTGATGCCATTCCATCGGCATTCCAAATTCTTTGGGAACCGAAAAGGCTCCGTCGTCAACAATCTGTCCACAACGATACATGAAGAAGTAGCCATTTGGCCACATTGAACCTGACACGCACAATTATTTCGATAGTTGTTTAAAGAAGTTATAGTAATTCCTTACCACTTTTCTTTCTAATTTTCTTTTTAAGTCAATGGTGGCTATGGAATTATTGAACCTTACTTAGCATCTATTTCTAAGGACTATTAAAAGATCGGTTATTGGACTAAATTTCTACGAAATGCAAATGAGCATAGCTCACATTCACTCCTTATTTCTTTTTATCTTTTCCTCTAAGTAATATGTTTTAACTTTAGGCATACAAACGATATCTAGTAATACTTACGCTGATAATTGGCTACCAATGAGGACATCTATTAATTAATGCAGCTGGTAATACAGCCGTATAACGCATCGCCGTGGTGGTTTTTCTCGATTTGTTCAATTCTACGGAAAGTGACCTTCCATTTTTGTCTCATAAATTTTCTCTTTTTCCAAAACTCTCTACCTGCAAGGAGATACTCCGCTCCTATCTTTAGTCTGATTCCGCATGATGCTTCCGTGGCTGCCGTATTCATCTTTTTCGGCAGCTGGTTCACCCTTGGTGGATACTAAAAAATTCCGTTCAGCATTATTTCTTTCCTTTTTAAAGGATCAATGTTTTCCCTTAATTTCTTGATTATCGATAAAGTGTTTCGGCGCGATTTTTGGTCATATTGTAATTGTGCTATCTTCCAAAAAAGAATGTATGTGCTGCCCACTTTGTTTCAGAATAATGATGAAGCAGTAATGTCGGATATGAAACTGCAAGTTAAGAAATTTTGAAGAAAGGGTCTGGGAGGTTTTTGTCTGTAGCTGCAACAAAAAGCGGTATCTCTCGTAATGTCCATACAATAGCATTTAGCATATGTTAAAACTCCCTTCCGTTATTCTGAAAAACTCAAAAAATCATGGAAAATAACATTTACTGCGTTATCAGCGCGGATAAAAAGGGAAGCCGGGAAAAAAACGCACCACTGGACCTCCTTCCAGTACATTGCCCTATATAACTTACCTTGAAAACTTCTTTGTACTCAAGTACGTAAGCCACATCGTTGTACTCGTTTCTACGCCCATTGTTTGCTAGACCAAAAATCTTCACATGAGCAACTGTAAGACTACAATGATTTGAAATAGACAAAGTAGTCATGATATACCAACTGGTATAGTACTGATATGAAGATCCCACATATTATTATAGTATACCAATTAATTAATTATTTATAGCTTCCCGAAATACTCTTTGATGGAAGAAACCTATTAGACAACTAGAAAGTTCGAATAACAATTTTCTAAGGGAAAAATAAGCCACCCCAATCAGCTTTGCAGAAAGATTCCCTTGTGGATTGGGCCGGTGAACAAAAACAGGCGTTAGTCCAAACAATGAATGTGCTTAAAATAAAGGCGACAATCATTCTGAAAATTTAGTTGCAGGATGAATCTGGAAATCAACAACAATACATTTGAAGATTGGTTGCTCGTACAACGGTCGGAGAAGTGTTTTTGCTTATATAAGAGGGATAATGTAAACATTAGTAATCTTTCAATATCGCACAAAAATATGCCAACAGGTTTTTTGTTTTGTGACTACTAAATTAGATTCTGTAGTGAGGTAAAGGACAACTTCTCATCACGAGTTGGTTCAACACTAATCTTATTTCTCTATTTCAAGAGTCTACCATTTGCAACAAACAGCGTACTATTTGAAAAGGCTGACCTGCTCCCTCTCTTCCTACTTTTCCTTCTCCGACTTTGTGAATGTTGAACCGATCAGTTTATTGGAATCAGTAGCAAGGAGCAGTGTAAGTTTGGCTTTTTTTGTCAGTGTATGTGCATACATGCATTATGTTGAGCTATGCAAATTTCGTGGGGAGCTCAGGGAAAGAGAGTCAACAATTTTTATGGCAGTACTGATCCCATTGTGGAAATGGTGTGATTGCACATATCAATCTTGCAAACACCTGTCGTCGGGGAATGAAGCTGAGCTTTCGCTTTTGCCATCAATCAGGTGCTGCTCTTTTTAGTTACTGGTTGCGCATTCAAAGTATAAGGCACATCCTTACAGTTTCTTGAAGTGGTCATAAGAACAGGGGAAGGTTTTAGCTTCGCCTTCTTTCAAAAACGCACTATCCCTATAGCCTACTCTCCTATTATGTTTCTGCAGAGGGCCGCGCACGATGTTCCGCAGGAAATTACCCAG